GCCCAAAGTGTGAGTTCAATTCCGGTTAAGGCAGTGAAGAACTTGGAGAGGGAATTAACAGGAGATAACTGATAACTGACATCCATTAAACATGGCACGTTAAAGTGTCTACTGAAGGGTTCAGTTCGACATTCCAACCACCTGAAGAAGGCCGAGCAGAACGGCTGAAACGTTTTAAATATGGCGACAAAGATGAGGACAATAGTCCGAATAATGTAAATAGTACATTACCACATCTCAGAAATATAGACAGATATTTTTACTTTCATCATGACTTAATTAGTTGTAGCATTCAGTCAGATGTAGTCTTTAAATAATTTTTAAACTAATACTAGACAATCGTTTGGGTCAACCTTTGTTGTGTTACTGATTACATTAGTTTCATGAAGAGTAGAGATATTTTAAATATACATATATTTTCGTTATGGAAGTTGCATTCAACATTTAAAAATTGTTAGTTGGAAGAAAGTTGAAATAAAAAATACATACTGTATAAATAAATCGTATTTTTAAATCATATTATAAAACATTGAAGTTACTTTCAACGTTAAAAATGTCTGTTTGAATAAAGTTGAAATAAAAATATATTAAAACAAGTTTAAAGATAAAGAGGATAACTCTATTTTTTGCTTAAAAATAGTGATATATATATATATTCTATTTATTATCTGTTTATGTATTTATCTTCTATGGGTTGCTGAAAATAAATCGTCCCAAACAGGAAGTAATTAAAAAGAAAGTTCTAATGTTTGGTCAGATTCTTGGAGAAACTTTCTGCATCCCGCGTATCTATCTATCTATCTATCTATCTATCTATCTATCTCTTGCTCTCTCTCTCTATATATATAAGTCAGTCTGTTCATTATCTATCTATCTATCTATCTATCTATCTATCTATCTATCTATCTATCTCAGTGTATTCACTATCTATCTATCTGATTTGGTGCTCCCGTTGTACATTTAGAGATTCTTGGTAAAATCTTTTGTGATGTCAACGAACTCTCGTTGCCACTTTTGTAATGTCAATGAATACTCGTTGTCACTTTTGTAATTCTCGTTGTAGTAGAGACTTTGTAATCGCAGATACAACTATAGTAACGCCGTTGAACAATACTGGTGTCAGACGCCTTAGAATATCACTCGCACTAATAGTACTTGCTCGATAGTACTCGCTCGAGAAGTAATCACCGAATAGTGATCCGAATAGTAATCAGTTTAGAGAATAGCGCAGAAAAGAGAATCGCAAGCCGTGTAGTGATAGAGGATAGAGTAGAAATAGGGATCATTTACACGTCACACTACTTCCTAATGCGTTTTCTTTACTATCACGTCATCTACTCATTCAAATCGGGATCGCCTATGTTTGCTCTCTGCCGATCTATGTTGAAACTATAATGTCGGCAGCGACACTTTACTCCTATACGACAAAATCCAAAAAGGAATCAGCAATATTATTGGTCCTGACTTAACTAAGCATCAGTCGTTTTCCCACCACTGTAACGTAGCTTCCCTGTGTCTTTTCTATATAATAATTGTTCGGTTAATCTCTTCGCTATGATACCTAGACTTTATGAATTTAAGCGCAGTATTAGATTGGCGGTGAGGTCTTATCAATTCACACTTGAATTAGCTAAATGTAACCGCAACTTCTATGCTAACAGTTTAGTCTCTCGCACTTATCGCTTGTGGAACTCACTTCCGGTTTCTTGCTTTGATCATTTAAATGCAATTTCAGTCCTCCTGATTTCTATTCTATTCTTATCGCACCCTAACACCTTTCTTGCTTTTCCACACTCAGTAACCCTTTGTGTTTTAGTGGTTTCAAATCTATCTCAGTCTGTTCATTATCTATCCGGCTTACGGATGCATCACGTTGAGACACCGGTTCTCTTGCGATCACCGAAGTTAAGCAACGTCGATCCTGGTCAGTGTCAACGATGGGTAACCGATTGGAAAACCAGGTACTGCAAGCTTGGGTATGCAGGTGACGAAATAGATAACGGCCCGGAATTGGAAATCGGACAGCCGAATTCCAATCAGGAGTATTATATTAACACGCAAATAAACTTGCGCAAAGTATGAACCCGCCTATTCTCCCCAGATATGGGTTAATAAGTAGAATTTGCTTTAGTAAAAATCATTTTTACCTACAAGAAGTTTTTACAATCTAAAAATATTTTCTGGGCTTAAATAACCTGCTAAACGGGGATAAGCCGTAAAAAATTACTCAGTCAATTATCTATCTATCTATCTATCTATCTATCTCTATCTATCCATCTATCTCACACACACACTATCTATCTCACACACGCATACACACAATCTATCTATCTATCTCTGTATCTATTAGTCAGTTCATATCTATCTGTCTATCTATCTAACTCACACACACACACACACATACACACTCTCTCTCTATCTAACTCACACACACTATCTATCTATCTATCTCACACATATCATCTCTATCTAAGTCTGTCTATCTATCTATCTATCTATCTATCTATCTATCTATCTATCTATCTATCTATCTATCTATCTCTGCTAATATATCTATGTCACAATACATATGCATATATTGTGAATGTATGTGTGTATGTGTGCGTGTGTATGTGTGCGTGTGTATGTGTGTGCATGATGTCTTTCGGTGTTGCGTGTTTTCGGGCGTTGATGATAAGTGATAGTAACGTTGTCAAGAAACAAACTTTACCCCCCCCTATATGTCTTTTTTGCGTCGACTCTTCTGTACAGCCGAATACTTTCCCCATTCACAACTCACTTTCTTGCGCCTCCCACATAATTTCAAAGCCTCGTGTCAAAATTCTTTATCACCTGCTCATTTACTTTTCACATTTAATTACCAATTTCTTTCAAGACGTCATCGCGTCTCCCACGTACACGGTTTCTGCCATCGTGTCTGAGAGCATTATGGTTTTGAAAACACGGACACAGGCTTGGTGCCATGCCATTACCATGAAATCAACCGTGATTTTAGTTCTGGCACTTTTAGAATGTGTGTCATAGAGTGGTCGTTGGACAATGGTTACCAGCCCAAAAGACGAAATCAGACTCATTGAGTTTGCTTATTTTCAATTCTGAAAAAAAAAAAAATAAATACAAGCCCCCTTCCCTAGCATTTTGTCCTTAATTACCGTCTCTTTCTTTGTGCATCCAGGACCTTGGTGATTATGGCTCTCCACAATTTTCTCTCCTTTGTAGGTCTTAGTAAATGCTGTCTTTTTGTTATATCTCCTAAACCTTGTTCCGCCATCCATTTACCGTTGTTTTCCTCTTTCCCTCTTACCTTCGTCTTGACGTCACTTGCTGATAGAGAAGAGCATTGCGGAGCCACTATGTAATCACTATCCTATCATTCATACAGCCTTCTTCTTCTTCTTCTTCTTCTTCTTCTTCTTCTTCTACTGTGCCGTGTCATTTCTGGACATGGTCGATCATGACATTCCCTGAATCTCTATCACTTGTATACGTACATCCACTTTGTCGCTGAAAAAACAGCATAGCGCGATGCAAAAAGGCCCCAAACTTAATAAAAAAAAGTTTTATCGTCAAAATATTTATGTTATTATTATGAGGAGAGACCAAAGTATTTTTGTTATTTTATTAAATTTGATAATCATTTCTAACACATTCAAAATTTTGGTTAAAAATCTTGTTTTTTTTTTTTTTTTTGCGTCAGCGGTCGACGTAATATTTACGTTTAGTATTTTAGTGCCTTTATAAAGGAGAAAAAATCCATTGATTTAGAAATTCTTGCAAAAAAAAAAAAAAAAAAAATCAAATAATTGTCAGATTTTAATAAAACTTTCAGGATTTATTCACAAATGAATTAAATTATTTTTGAAATTTTTTTTAGGAAATCTTGGTCAAAAATATTTTTTTACATATGTTACCCACACAAAATTTCATGAAATTTCGAGAACTTAAAATTTCAACTTCAAAATTGTTTTTTTATTAGTTAAAAGAGGACTCCTTGGGAAATGTAAATCAATACAAAATTGTAACTGGTAAGGATTATTCCAAAGAGGACTTTTAATCCATATGAGAGCTCAATGTACGATACAAAGCAGATTATAATAATAATTAGAAAAAAAATTAAAAATCCATAGTGAGTAATAAATTTATTTCTATGAATATAAGAATATTCATCTCATCAAACTGACTACATTTTTGGAAATAGAATCAATATATCCAGATAGACAGATATACAAAGGTATAAAAGGAAAGAAAAAATACAAGATGAAACAATAGTAAAAATAAATTGACCCAGAAAAGTTTACTCCCAATATAATATTTTTTAATATTAGGATTCTCAATAGATGAGATAGTACATTGGTAAACTATAGATTCTGTGAGACATTTTTTCTAAATTATCAGTACAAGAAAAAATAAAAAAAACACAATAATAAAATTTTAAATGAATACTTAAACTAGAATAAAAAATAGAATAGTGATCCAGAAATAAGAATAAAGAATAGTAAAGAAAAATTATATAACTGTAGGAATCCTATAAATTGTCCATTGAATAATAAATGTCTCACAGAATCTATAGTTTTCCAATGCATTATCTCATCTATTGAGAATCCTAATATTAAAGAATTTTATATTGGTAGCACTAAAAATAATTTTAAATTAAGGTGGGGCCAACATCTGTCTTCCTTTAAAAATAATGTGTATCATAACCAAATATCTCTATCCAAATATTTTTGGCATTTAAAAGAAACAAGAAGTAAAATGAAAATTATTAAAAACAAAAAAAAACAAGAACCTGTAGGTCTTTAAATGACCCATATCCTTTGTGCCTACATGAAAAGTTATATATTATTAAGTTTCTAAAAAATAAATTTATTAAATCAATGAAATAACTGTTTTTGTAGACACTGAATTATGTTTACTTTCATAACATAATTAGTGAAAAAAAATTCATAATTATATATCTATTATTTGACCACAAATAAGAAAGTAAAAAATGCGTGATTAAATTCCTAAATTTTAAATCTTAATTTTAACAATACCGTATCTAGTATAATAATAAATATAATTATATAGTGTTTTAGATCTTTATAAATAAGAATATAAATATATAAAATATGACTTAATCATATCTGTAGCCCCTTTAAGGCAATCCCAATGTATTTTATAAAAATAAAATAAATAAATAAAAATGTCAATGTATTGTAGTTTATCTTATGTAATGCCCTTAAAAATCAGACAGGATGACACTTCCTCATATAAGGAAGCCAGTATCAGCATGCAGAAATTACAAACCCACATCTAACCCTTAACCTATATTTACACTTTGCCATTTTAAATTAAACTGGTATTCTAATTCGTCAAAAAAGTCATCATCCATTTTAAAATTTTATTAATCCTTTCGCCCTCTAACTTAAACTATATAAAACTATTTAACTTAAAAAAAGTAAATAATTTTTTTTCGAAAGTTATTCAACATCGGTTAAGAATGGAGCAAAACTTTTTTTAATTTAAAGTTTAGTTTTTAGTTCCGAAACATGGCAATTTTTGTTTCGCGTTGAATACATATTTTTTAAATAATAATATTATAATATATATATCCAGTTTTCCTCTGTACTATTCCTCTTTTTAAACTTATTCATCGTTCTCTTGATAGTTCTTGAATGGACTTTGAAGATGGAAGCGAGAGTATGAATGTTGGTATGATTACTTAAGGCTTGAATGATTTTTTTTCCTCTCACCGTAGCTCAGTTGGGAAGACATAGTGAGACTGACACAGAATGATTTTAATCTGTTCTCTTTTTAGCTAAGTAACTCAAAGGGTTTTTCAGTGATTCTTACAATAAATGGTGTCAAGATGCTTAAACGTTTTATCTGAAAACCTGGAAAAAAGAAACACAATTAGTTTAGTGGTTTTTATTTTTTTTTTTAGATATTAAACAGTTTGTATGATGGACAATTGTGCTGTTACACGATGTGGACAGTTTTGCTGTCACACCCAGTATATATAAAAATATAGTTTTAAGGTATTCTATATTTATGAGTAAAGTGTTCCATATCAGGGAGAGAGCGTCTGTAAATATAAAAGTGGACACGGCGGTCAACATAGAGTGGCTACAGTTTGTTTCATGCTTCAACAGATTGTCGCCACTCGGTGTAAACTGATGTGTGGCAAGAGAAAAAGGGAGATTTGCTTTGGTTTGTTTAACGGCATGTCAACTCCTTATGGGTCATTTAATTTTCTTAATTTTCTTGTGAGGTCTTGTAATTGTTTTTCAAAAAAATGTATTGCTTGTAATGTTTTATTTTTTTTACCATGAAAATGTATTGCAGGTAATTTTTTCTAATGTATTTTTATATTTTCATGTTTTGACCCCAGTTTTGGGGTCCATTATTTGTCCATAACTGGGACCTCAACAGTGCTACGGCCCCAGATCAAGGTGAACCTGGGAACAACAAGAGTTAACAGGTGGTTCCAAGTTCCTCAAAATTTCCACTCTCCTGATCTGAGGCCTTGGTGCCGTCATACCCAGGATGCCAAAAAGGAAGAAACTACAGATTCTTTTTTTTTTTTTTTTTTTTTTTTTGCGGCACAAGTTAAATCTCTTCCTAAACCGTATTAAGTCGACATACGGACGCTTAGGCTAGTTTGGTGCTTAGCAATCGCGTCTCACAACTGTTTAGGGACTTCGGTCTATAGTGAGTGCCTTAAATTTATAGGTCCGTGCCATATTAAAATCTGTATAGGAAATATCTATAATCATATATATATATATATATATATATATATATATATATATATATAATTACTTTCATTTTGGCAACCGGATCATGTAATATAATAATTGGGCAGAAAGCTTTCTATTATACAAGTTTTATTAAAGACGACAGACAAGGTACTGCGATTAAGCTTTTTATTCAATTGTTCCTTTGTTAAAACGAAGGTTTTTTTTGCTGAATGTTATGGTGCTACTTTCCTTGTTAGTTGTCGGGTCATGTAATTCAACATAAGATAAATTGAATAAAAGCTTAATCGCAGTAACTTGTCAGGCGTATTTAAGGAAACTTGTATAAAAGATAGATTGATGCCCAAATATATATATATATATATATATATATATATATATATATATATATATATAGAGAGAGAGAGAGAGAGAGGTGAATCCAAGTGAATCCTAAAAATATAAAATATTAAAACTGATTCACAAAAGAGAGCGCAATATATTTATTATAGAGCATAGAAATGAATTACATAAAAATGAAACTAAATTTTATCCCATTTATATGGCTATTTCGCTCCTAGAAAGAGAAATTTCCTTGAACTTTTCAATACTAAAACGTTTGATAAAAATCAGACGTTTTAGTTTTTTTATTAATATTGATAGTTGATTTATTGTATGAAAACCTCTTTATAATCTATCTATCTATCTATCTATCTATCTATCTATCTATCTATCTATCTATCTATCTATCTATCTATCTATCTAATGTCGTTTATTCGGAAAAGCAGTTATATCAAGAAGGAAATAATCTTTTCAGGAGATTAACTGATCTAAGAACAGTTTCCTGAAAACAATCTACCTCTATGGATTCTAAACAAAAATTAAATTTCTTTCTTTTTTGGGGGTGGGGTGGGAGGTCTGAATGTTTCGGATGAGGTGTTGTTATCATTATTTACTGATTTACCCTTCAGCCTTCTTCAGGTCACTGTCACAGTTGGTAACGTGCCAGGAATTTCAAACCAAAACCTTGTGTTGGGTAATGCCCAAAATATTCATTACTCTTTTTCATTGAAAGAGACAAGCGACATTAAGTCGCTACGAGTTGTCTCCCATTGCATGGTCATCGGAATGGAGAACTTTCTGAAGCAGCAGTCGGTAAATTACTTTTTGCCACTATTCCGTCAAGAGTGTTTTTCAGGATGCCGTTACTCAGAAACTTTACACACACACACACACACACACACACACACACACACACACACACACACACACACATATATATATATATATATATATCCATATAACATCACCTAAAATAGTCTGTATTTTTTCAGCTTTGAAAATAGGGACAGACATTTGTAGTTCTGAATCGTATTATTACGAATGTCTACAGAAGCCCGGTCTTCAATTTGGGTGAGTTATAACAAGACAAGTCAATCACCCAAGACAGCAACAATTAAAAGTTAAAGTGAAGAATTTTAAAAAAATAACCGAGTTTCATTTGGCTAGGCTTCTTCTTCCTCGAAAGAAAAAATAAATAACTTTCAGATTTGGTTTCAGCCACACAATGATAGAAATGATTGGAAAAATTAGACAAAATCAATAAATAAAATAATAATAAAAATACCATTTTCTCATGATGCTGTTAATAAAGGAACCGGAAACGATTTTTGGTCATCTATGCAATTTTATGACGTCACTGTTTTCACTCGTTTCATTCCAATCAAGGCGATAACACGACTAACACGCAGGGGGCTACATAGAATGAAAACGAGGAAGTCTGAGAATGTGGAGGATTGAGGAAAGGACAAAAAAAAAAAAAAGGAACAGAGTTCAAGAAGACAGAAATTGACGATTGACGTTGTATTTAAATTTTTTATAAATGTGGTTATCAGGGAAAGCCATAAATCGAAAGGAAGTTCCACAGGTGTGAAGTGCGAGTAAAGAAACTGTTAGCGTAGAAATGTTTTCATTTAGCTAGTTCAACGGGAAAACAGTGTGACCTAGTTGGCAATCTAGTAGCACGCTTAAATACATGTTGTCGGGGAACCAGTGAAAAAAGCTCATTAGGACAGTTGCCATGAAAATATTTGTACAAAAAAGACAAATGGAAGCCACGCCACTTCCGGAAATGACAGAACCGCTCTCTTGCCAATACTTTCAAACGTCTAGCGTTCAAACGTGGTTTTCCAGCTTCACGCATGAAGTAAGTACAGCATTTATTTTGGTCGTTCCAACTCCGCGCAAACCTGACTTGGGATCGACCATTATAACCATTCATTACTTGGCTTTATTTATTTCTGGACCTGAATAAGAAAACGGACATATTCAAGAGACATTGAGAAATTTGTTTCCCTACAGTTTGTCTGTCTGTCTGTCTCTCTCTCTGTCTCTCTCTCTCTCTCTATCTATCTATCTATCTATCTATCTATCTCTCTCTCTCTCTCTCTCTATATATATATATATATATATATATATATAGAGAGAGAGAGAGAGAGAGAGAGAGAGGGGGGGGGAAAGGTGGGAAACAAACGGCCCGTAATAGAAAACCAAGGTTTTGCTGCTTCGACATTTATTTATATGTGAACACGCATACACCTACAATAGTCCAACACACCTTTAAATCTAATAGGTTCAATCAAAATGTATTACCTCATTATTAACCCCCAGAAATTTTGATTTTTATCCCCTTCAAGTTAATTTACCCCTATTTGCCGACTGCTGCTCAGAAAACTGAATAAAGAGTTCAGTTCAAAATTTTCCGAAGGCTACCAAATGCAAGAGACCCGGGAAGAAATCTGGACAGTACTACGGTCTAAACGTTTTGACGGTAACATCCCAAATGAAGACTCTAGTCCGAGTAAATCAATTTACAATAATATCAATTCCCCATTAAGAAAATAAAAAAAAGAAAAGAAAAGACACGCACTCTATTCCAGTGGAAAAAAAGCAACACAGCAAGAAAGAATTAACTTGCTATAATAAACTGTTACGAGTTATGTCCCTTTGCATGGACGTCCGAATGAAGACAATCTACCTTTCGAAAGTTACTGAATACGACATACACCTGAAAGTTGCCGGACTGTATAGATGTTTAAACTTTATGACTCTATCAACCAAAGTGATGATCTGAGTGCAAATAATCGACGTATAATTAATATATGGGAAGAAAAAATTGTCTATTAAAGTTGATAGGATCTACATAAGAACACTTTTTTTTCCGGCACATAAGTTTCATTACAATATGTTGCTATAATTGTTATATTTTATAACTAGTTATTATTGTGAATCTCTTATTGTGTCTAATTTACAAGTTAACTTCACGAAAGGTACGTATGCATTGGAAATATTATATACATATGTTATTCGCGGTTTCTGGTATCTGCTGAGAGGGTCGTTGGAGCACATCTATGCAGATAATATTGGAGAGGGTTACTGTCTTGTAACAATAACTTTTAGAACATTACTAATAAAGTTATCTGTTTATATAAACCTTAAATGGGTAATTAATTCGCATGTAATACAGTAAAAAATGAAAATCTTTATTTGACTTATTCAGCTTTAGTGCTGAAAAATGTTTATTTTATGGTGATGGATGGAGATGCGATGTGCTTATTTTTTTTTACCAAAACGCAGTAAACACTTCAAGGGCGTGATGGAAAGTTCATAGTATGTCTATGTGTGACGCTAGAGCTGTGATATCTTACATGCATTAATTTAAACTCTTCTTATTAATAACAGTATTTTTTATTTGCAGCTAATCTGACATCTAAATGTTCAATGAAGACTGTTCATCCTGTTGGCCAAAAAATTCATCAACTGCAGATATGACGTCATCATTACTGCGAAATTGGTTCCCTGCTAAGTGTCTTTCATGTTGGGGAACAGATGATAGTCAAATCAGGAGAATAGGGAGGGTGATCAACCAGTTTAAAGCCACAGTTACACATAGCAGCTATTGAAACCAAAGACTTGTATGTTGGAGCATTGTCCTGATGAAATAAAACCCCTTTTGTCAGTTTTTCTTGACGTTTGGTTTTGATAGCGTTTCGTATTTGCCTTAGCATATTGGCATAGTGTTCTCCATTGATCGTGTGGCACTTTTGAAGATAGTAAACAGAATGCCTTTTGCATCCCGAAAAACTGAGGCCATCACCTTCCTGCAGATGAAACGACCTTGGCTTTCTTTGGAGCAAGTGAGGAGTGGTGTTTCCACTGATGGATTGTCTATTGGATCACTTATAACACATTTATTATAGGAGATAAGGACATTGAACTTAGGAGAGGCTGCGCTACGGGTAGTTTTTCCCAACACCACAAGATGTTACAAAACCAAAGCATTAACTTTGAGTCATCTTATATAGCCTCATCAGATCGGGACTCTCACATGGATGTTATGCATGGCGTCTAACTTATATAGAACTTTTAAAACTACAACCGTTTTTTTTTTCAGATCAATGATTGGTAGTAGCTTCGATCGATTGAACCCAGTAGGTATTAAAAAAGACTGTCTTTTATCAGATCTTATAGACTGACGCTGCAGTAACACAAATAACAGTGCCAAATAACAAGCAACATCGCTTGATGACTTTCAACAGCAGCAACATTTAAAATAGAGAGCAAATGTTACTCGAAGAGAAAATGATGGCATAATCAAGATGATGACATTCCACACTACTTCAAACAAACGGTTAGGAAGGAAATCCCCCATCAACACTGTAAAGAGCAATAAAAGCGAGTGGACTTCAGAAACCTATTTTCTTGAAAAAAAAGATTTTTTTTACAGAAAGATTTTACAATTTTTAACCGACGGTAACGCTAACTGATCGGTCAATAAATGCAGAAAGTTTCCTTATTAGGAAACGGTTAATCTTACCATTAACCTTAGCAATGTTGTCGATATGATTTATTAAACAAATGTTTCATTTAGAGTAACTACAAATTTTTCTTGTTTAATTGTTTTTGTTTAACGGCATATCAACACCTCAATGGGTTATTTAATACCGAAATCTAAATATTTGGTAGGATTTTTTTTTTATTTTTGGAAATAATTTTGGTTTAGGGGTGCAAGTCTTACCCATAGATGGAGAAGAGATGCATGAATGCTTTTCCCAGGGATATTTTCAAGTAAGTGAATATCACGAACATAGATGTAATTGGAACTCGGCTCTCCGATTAACAATTCTGAGCCATTATCGAATATACCACCTGCACACCCAAGCTTACGGCACCTGATATTTACCCATTTAGGTACTGACCAGGCTCGATCAATATTGCTTAACTTCGGCGATCCTACGAGAACCGTTGTTTCAAAGTAAGCCTCAAATCTTTGTCAATAGAGGAATAAATGGAAGAATTGCCCCAGTTGCCTGCCTCATCTGATTCTGGTGTGCAAAAGATTTATTTTTACTTATGTTGTAACCTAGAAAAGGTTACTTAATGAAGAATAACCAAAACGGAGGTTGGAAATGAAATGGTAATCTTTATAACATCAGCAAAATACAATACTCGCCAGCGGCGTGAAGTAGGTAGACCACTGCTAGTGGTGGACTACGTAGACAGCATATTAACCCCACTTACAATAGTGTCCAACGTATTTACGAGGATTAGAACATACCAATTAGTGTATGGTATATAAAATATACAGATAAGATTAACACTATCTATCTCAGTCTGTTCATTATCTATCTATCTATCTATCTATCTATCTATCTATCTATTGCAATGTGTTCCTATCTATCTATCTATCTATCTATCTATCTATCTATCTATCTATCTATCTAGAAAGGGTTACTGAATGAGGAATAACCAAAACGGAGGTTGGAAAATACAATATACGCCAGCGGCGTGAAGTAGGTAAACCACTTCTAATGGTGGACTACTTAGACAGCATATTACCACCACTTACGTTAGTGTCCAACATTTTTATGAGGACTGGGATATACCCATTAGTGTTCATAGGTGCAGTATATAGAAACTTATCATTGCGCTCTAACTTTATCGTTACTGCACATCTTGTCTGCTTCGATATCTTCCCTTCATTCAATAGTTGAACACTGACTTGGTCAGTATTTCACAAATTTAAAATTTCTTTTAGTAAGATGCGGTACTTAATGTTGCCCATTGAAAATCAGAAAAACAAAAAAAAAAAAAGATTGTTGGATATCAGGAATTAAGATATTCAAAGATGCATTCCAAAAGCTAAGCAGTGTACGAAGAAATTACAAAACTTCGCTAGAAACAAGGAAACTAGTACTGAACTGTTACGTGATATCTGTCCTCCTGTATGGCAGTGAATGCTGGACAATCTCCTCAAAAGTGAAGAAGAACATGAAACAACAGAAATGTGCTTCTGTAGACCCGATGCTCAGGATATCATGGACAGAACATGTGAGCAACGACGAAGTTTTAGAGAAAGTGGAAACAAAAAGGAAATTTAACACCAGGAAGAGACAATTGAGATTTCTAGGACGCATAATGAGAAAAGAGGGCTTGGAAAATCTGATACTCACAAGACAGATTGAAGGCAAGAGAAACAGAAGAAAACACCACTTGACATACTTAGTGAGCTTGAGTAAATGAATGGCGGAACAGGGTTTAAGAGAAATAACAGGAAGACGAAATTTATTAAGATCTACAAAGGAACAGGGAGTTGTGGAGAGCCATGATCACCTACACCCTATAGGTACACAGCACATAGAAGAAGATGAATAAGCTTGAGTAAATGAATGGCGGAACAGGGTTTAAGAGAAATAACAGAAAGACGAAATTTATTAAGAGCTACAAAGGAACAGGGAGTTGTGGAGAGCCATGATCGTCTACAACCTGTTATTTTCGTCACTGTAATGATGGAAGTTCCTGTCATCCTTAAATGGGTTACTATTATTGGGGTAATACAGTCCGACATCTTTAATCCGGTATCCGTGGTTGGGTAATTCTTTTTTTTTTTAATCAGCCGCCATTTGTTCAGTGAGCGGCTACGAGGTCAGCGCCACACGTTGTTTACGACTTTCCGCAGCAGTCGACAGCAGCAGTGTGTTTTGTTGATACGGTCTTGCTCATTTCTGATATACAGCTGCATATTTACCCATTCAAGATGGCAAATATATATATTTTAGGGTTTTAGTCTATTTTTTAGCCTTTGAATGCATGAAAGAATAAAAACCTTGTTTAGAAGCGTTAATGATTGTTTTATTTCCTGGTATAAGCTTTGTTCTACCTTTGATGGCACATCAATATATAGAGATTTTCCAAGCGTAGCTTAGATGTGGCTTTAGGCCGAAAGTAGGCGGGGGATCCAGTGAGGGTCGAACTCATTATTCAGTTGTAATTATTCTAACGAGACAAGCTTGCTAACCATTGCACCGCCTCGAGGTGCCCAAAGCTATTTTCTAAGTGTAGCTTAGATGTGGCACAAAGCTGAAAGTACGGGGCACCTAGTGAGGATCGAACTCACTTTTCAGTCGTAACTGATCTAGCGAGACAAGCTCGCTAATCATTACAGCACACCGAGGTACCCCACATCAATATATATGTGAAATGAGTTCGCATGACTGTATAAATAGTTTTTTTTAGGGGTGATTTCTGTAATCAGGAATTTTTGTTTTCTTACTCTGGCCTACCAAACGAGCTTGGATAGCAGAATATGGACAGGCAGGGATAGCAAGAAGAATTTGTAGAGAGCCATGATCATCAACGTCCTGAAAGAACAGGGCATGTAAAGTAAGAAGTGATAAACTATTGTCAGAAGCTAAAAAGAATATTGACCCCCCCGCCAAAAAAAAAAAAAAAAAAAAAAACAGCGTCGTTCTGTCTGCGAAAACGCTGAAAAAATGCTATTACTTTTTCCATACAAATAAAGAAGTAAGCAACGCAAAAAGACAAAACAAAACTCATCACCCCCGCCCCTAAAAAGCAAAAAAAAGACATCTCATAAAATATACGGAAATACGAAAAATGTCACATCTGCGAGGAATCGGTTAAATTATTTGCATCTGATATTCTTGCTTTGAGCCCATCTTGAACAAACTGAAACACAATCTTGGATTCCGGTCAAAAGTGCCGTAAAAAGTGCGGTCAGTCTGTCTGGAGCACAAAGGCGAATCGGACAAAAGCAAGAACTGCGTTGGGAAGAGTTATCAGCGCAGGTATTGCGTAGGCTGGGATGGGTTTGGTGTGGGCTGAAATGATGGAGATGTTGGGAGGCGTTCTTGCTATTGATGATTGTGACGTGCTTACAATGGAATCATTATCAGGCAAATTCAATCTGCCTTCCTCGCAACTACAAATACGTCAGTGGCTTAACAAGTGAACGCGCCTCGATGGCCAAAAGTCCGCAGTCGGAAATTTGACTCGCCGAATCCGGCCACAAATTGACCGACAGGAGGAAATTTATTGTTCGGGTCGGAAGAACTATGCAATGTGCAGAGGACGAGACGCCTGCTTATTTTATTGAACAACTGCAAATAGAAATGAACGAATTCCTGTCTCTTAATTTTCTTTTTTTTGCTCGTGGAAAATGGAACCAGTTGATAATTTGTTACAGTTTACTCTGGTAACAAACGATATTGCTTCTTCCATTATGCCGACATTTTATTTTCTATCATATCGTGAATAATGGTGCCATGATGAATATTCCTTTAGGCGCCAACTTATTATTTATTACCATGATCAAACAATTACCTTATAATTATAATAGTTAAAGCTTCAACACACAGCTCGCTCGTGGCCATGTAACGTTGAAAAACCAAAGTTAATCAACGTCGAATCAGGTCACTATTTAGATGGGTGACCGCTTGGAAATATTAGGTGCTGTGTAAGCTTGGATGAAATTGATAGAAACTGCTGAGGGGTCCACCCCTTTTTATACAAATGGACTCACCCGGTGTATACTTATACTACTGCCAGAGCAAGACCGAAGAACGGAGTCGAGTCCAGAGTGACAGAGTAAAAGGTTGCAGGTAACCGGAAGAGGTAGTGATTTTCCAAGCGTAGCTTAGATGTGGCACAAGGCCGAAAGTAGGGGCACCCAGTGTGGATCGATCTCACTACACAGTTGTAATTGTTCTAGCGAGAACAGCTTGCTAACCATTACATCGCCTAGAAGTGCCCTAAAATGATTTTCTAAGCGTACCTTAGATGTGGCACAAGACCGAAAGTATGAGGCACCCAGTGAGAATCGAACTCACTACTCAGTCGTAACTGTTTTAGCGAGACAAGTTTGCTAACCATTACACCACGCCGAGGTGCCCAAATGATTTTCGAAGCGTAGCTCAGATGTGGCATGAGGCCGAAAGTATGGGGCACCCAGTGAGGATCGAACTCACTACTCAGTCATAATTGTGCTAGCAAGACAAGCTTGCTAACCATTACACCACCTTGAGGTGATCTAGAGTGAGGGTGAGGTAACAGCGTTGTAGGAGTCACAGTGAGCGAGCACGTAGACTCAGTAAGAAGTCATCCAGCGATACTTCAATACCAAAGACTGTATAGATATTTTGCTACTAACCCGCATTCCTGGAACTACTAACCTGCTTTACCAGTTTGTATTATTACGTTAATACATTATTTTCATATATTCATTCCTAGAGTTCGTTATTTATTGGTACCAGATTTCATCCCGGAATCCACAACAGAAACAAATCAAAATAGACGAAATAATCGAAGGTAAAAATTGAATGTTCAATACACAGATCGCTTGCGTCCATGTCACGTTGAAAAACCAAAGTTAAGCAACGTCGAATCAGGTCAGTACTTAGATGGGTGGCCGCTTGGAAATATTATGTGTTGTGTAAGCTTGGATGTACGGGTTATGAAATGGATAACAACTTGGAATTGGAAATCGTAAAGCCAAGTTCCAATTCCAGTCGGGTTTGTTATATTCACTTAAACGCGAATAACCTTGGAAAATCCATTTCTTCTCCCTCAGTTATGGGTTAATTAGTTGGATCTTCATCAGTAAATCATTATTATATCCAAAATATATCTTACAATCTAAAAATATTTTCTATTAACCTGCAAATGGGTAGATACGACATAAAAATCAGACCAATCAATCAATTTGTTTGATGCTGAAATACTCTAATAAATAAATAATGTTTATTATTTTTATTTTAAATTCAAGAACAAAGAAAATGTATAAATTCACCTTCATCATATGTTTAAGTTTTATTCCAATTCTAATAATCGCTTTTGAAAACAATAAACGTTGCCGAAGAGTGAATGTCGTCGAAAAAAGTGGTTTCATGGGAAAAACCGTCTTCTTGAGACTATGTTTTACTGCGGGTACGTTTATCTATGTTTGCCAAAAATGTTCTCATAAAATTCACAAGTGTAATCGTTCTTTTATAACAGGATACACTATTTATCTGAAATGTGGCGTATGTTCATAGAAAGCCAGGAAAAATACTTCGACGACTGAATAATTATATAGACTAAAATGAATAGAAAATTTTGTCAAAAGAAAAACAAATAAAATATTCTTTTAAAACGATTTTTGTATCATTATAATAAAACAATGAGGAGCAAAAAGGATGTATCTATATCTGTGTATCTATATCTATAATTCTCAAAATGTGTATGTATGTATGTATGTGTGTGTGTGTGTGTGTGTGAGCGGATGTTGTTTATGCATTTTCACAGTTTTCATCCGATTTTGACGAATTTTTTTTGTTCGATAGATAATTCTTCAGTGCCGGTTTTGAGTCCAAATTGTTGACGACCATGGATCTCAACTACTTCTTGTCCATTATAACTCTCATCAACGTTTTACTATTTACTATCTC